GTGAGAATACATTCAATCAGTTTTTTAGTTGAAATTCAATAAATGATACTCTTTATAAAAATGATATTATTCATATTTATATTAATAGTGACAGTGTAACTAAATAGGTATATAATGGAGCTGTTTTGTTCAAGTATCATATATATGAAAAAAAAAAGTATTCATCTATATAATATAATGATTTCATTTTCGCTTATTCAACTATATTTCATGTTTATCACACAACATTCTTTTATTCAAAGAATTTCTAACAAAATTATTATTTATAATAATGGAAAATATTCATGAAAATTCTTTGGTCGTAAACACTTATCTATATGAAGTTTTTTTATTTTAGCACAATTGCGACGTATTCTATTATTGGTAAAATTGTTTGTTATCATTGCGAGTGATTTGAACTCGATGTATAGATCTGATAAAGAAGGTAGATGGGTGCTTTTATCGAAGAGAAGTTCTTTAGCATAATCCGCATGTGTTTCAACCAGATTGAGAAGAATAAGATGAGGATATATAATCAATATAGACGAATGTTCCTTATTTATTTGTGGTTGATAATTAATAACATATAACTCTTTGAGAAGAGGAAAACATTGAGATATAACTATGAATAAATTATGTTGAAAAGGACGTCCATCAGTCATTGTTAATCGTCGAACTGTATAAAAGAAATCAGCTTGAAAAGAATTGTTAAGATGAATAAAATATTGAAATTGATATGGAAGTGAATAGACATGCGACATGCCTATATTGTCTTCTGATCTATAATGAACGCAAGAACCAACTTGTTGATATTCTTTTCCAATGAAACTATGTTGAAGATCTTCATTCGACGGAAGATTAATATTCTTGTTTGTATTATCAACACTTGTGTTTATACTGAAGATAAATTTGTTCAATTGTGACATATAAATAAGAATTTGATCATGTAATTGAATACCATCAATATAAGTCGAGTACCTTTTTAGTACTGACAAGAATAATGTCAATTCTTTAAGATTTATCATTCGACGAAGTAATGGAATTATTTGATCATTATAATGAGATGTAAACTCAATTGAGGTTAATGAGAAGCATTTCAAATTGTGAAGTTTATCCTAGAATGAAATATATAATTAAGATATTGTTTATCTTGAAAATAGAAGAATTTTAATTCAATTTACTTTATTATTTCTATCTGATAAACTCAATGAGATTTTTTTCACATCAATAATCAATGTTGACAAATATTTGAGATGTCGAACAAGATAAAGACAATCATCAAATTTTTCGACATTAACTTTTAATTTAGTTAAACTCGACGATATACAACTTGTTGATGGATACTTATAAATACAAATTGGACTCATCCGATCAGGAAATAATTGACAATAATTCAAATAAATCAATCGTTGACACATTGATAAAATCAATAGGAATATAGTTGAGCGAGTTTTAGATGCTTTTGATTTTGGCTCATATGAAACATCAATATTAAGATATCTTATTTGTTGAGTAAGAAGATCATGAAGAACTGAATCACCTGAAGATTTATAAAATGAGACAATTATTAACTTATATGTGAGAGTATTTCAGTATTTTATTAATTAATATGAATAAAGTATGAATAATGTACCTGTTAAATATTGAAAAAGTATTTCTTCTTGAAAATTAACAAGTGATAATGAGTAAAGTTGAGGATAATTAACAGTAAAGAGAATACGTTCCATTGAATATTGTTCAACAATAAGTTCATTTAATTGATGATGAATTCGAGGCAAGATTTTTTCAGATATCTTTGAAAGAAGATTATTGTCTATTGAAAAGTTCCATTCATAATATGATTTAATGGTGATGCTCGTCGTATCAAGATTTCGAATATGAAGTGAATCAAATACTAATCGATCAAATCGTTGATTAATATCCACAAGTGAATAGAGAGCATCAACTGTTTTTAGTTTATTGAAAATGATCAATAAGATTTCATTGGGCAAATCGACTATACTAAGATAATTCTTATTCGAACTTTCCATATTTGATTCTGATTATGTTATTCATTTCATTTTATATCTCTGCACTTTGCTCGTTTCCATTTGTGAGAACAATGAAAAAAAAAACAAAAAACATCCATGTTATAGTATTCGACTACGATGAATGGCGGATGCATTTTCTATTCTGTCTAACATTTTTTATTATTCATGAATGGTCGATTCGTCTGATCATTTTCTTTTATTGAAACGTTTATCATGTAGCTTGTTTTACATAATAGATAATATAATATGTTTAGAATAAGATATAGTACATCAATCAGACATTAGAAGTCTACTTAAAAATTGTCGAATGTATCGTTTAATAAAAGAATATCATTGATTTTATTTGGTTAAACTAAAAAAATAAACATTGCCTGAAAATCTAAGAAGTATAGACCGTAGTTGGTTTGGTTGGATCTAGAAATTTGTAAGTCCAATGTTAATCCTCGTTTCAAAGACGGGGATTGAAAGAAAAACCTAATATAAGTCGGATCATATTGATAAAGATGTTTCATCGTTAAATCATTTGATATCTGACGTGATCATTTTGAGTAAGAAAAGTAAATTAAATTGTTTTTTTTGTATTTTCATTTGAATATATTTATTTGATGAAGAAGCATGAAAAGAACGTCATCGATTATGAATGAAAAAAAAAAGAAAGAAAAGAATTCGTTACTGCTATGTCAAATTCTGATCAATTAGAATTTCTATTGTGTACATAAAT